GGTGGGGGTGGGGGGCCCTTGGGCAAGGGGCTTGAGCCAGGCAGGGGAGGAGAGGGGGACTCACAGGAAGGCGCCCCGCCTTGCACCATCAGCATCACTTGCAGGGCCCAGACATTTCCCCAGTGAAGAGACAGCTGCGGGGCTTCACTGGGGGGTGGGGGGCTGAAGACGGTAGCAGTGGCTTGTGGCCCCACCCCACCAGGAAGCCAGCCTGGAGAGGGAGGAGGAGCCTCTTAGCAGTGAGGGAGTCTGGAGCCCAGCCAGCAGTGCAAAGGGCATGGGGGTGTGTTCCTGGCCAAGGGAGGTGGGCAGCACCTGAGTCCTTGCAGGCACCAGGGCCGGGCAGCTGGGGTCCAGCAGGCCCAGGAGATGAAGTGGCACGCCACTGGGCAGGAGCTCCCCCAGAGAGCCTGGGGCCGATGGGCTCTGGATGCAGGGCTGGAACCCCTCAGGTGAGGGCGGCTGTGAACAGAGGTGCCTGGCACAGCCAGTGCAGTCTCAGCACCTCTGACTTGCCCAGGCCCTGCGCCCCAGGCCAGGATGGGGGCACTTGTCCCGCTGTGCTGGGGGCCGAGCAGTCTGGGGGTCTTGGACACAACTGGGCATCTGGCAGGCACCGTGGGTGCTGGAGGTCAACCTCAGTGTGGGGCTAGGGGAAGGGCCCTGGGAGGGCATGGGCGCCCTCCTGCTTGCACTGACTCTGGGCAGAAGCGGGTGCTAACCTTCCCACCTCAGTGACCGCGGGGCTTTGGGCCTGGACCCACGGGGTCAGCGCAGGATGACCCCGGGGCCAGTCCTGGGAAGGGGCATTTCAAGACCTGTGCAGCCAGCAGAGTGGGGAGCAAAGGGACAAGCGTCTGGGTTCGGGGGGGGAGGGGCTATTCCTGAGCCCTTTGGTGCTCTGGAGGCCCTGGAGATGCCGCTAGAATGAGCAGTGGGGGGACAGGCCTGTTGCTTGAACTGGCCCACCCTCTCTTGGGGCAGCAAGATGAGACTGCAGAGGGGGTGGCTGGGAAGGTAGGGGAGGGGTCTGCAGGTTGAGGGCTGCTGTTGGCTGTTCCCTTGGGAGGGGCCCTTAGAAAGGGAGGAGCCAGGCTGAAAGGTGGGTGAGGAGAGGTCTTTGGGGGCAGTATGGGGACAAGGGAGAGGCGGAGACCTCCTGCAGAGCCGGCGGTGGCCAGGCAATGGTAAGGCAAAAGCAGTTTGGGGGGCTGTTCTGGAGCAGGATGGGGGTGACGGAGTAAGAGAGCCAGCACAGTGATTCCGCCCAAACTGAGCTGACGGGTGTTCACCTAGATGGGCAGGCAGTGCCGAGGGCAAGGGGGCCAGCTGGACTCTGGGCCAGCCAGACACAGCGCCAAAGGAGGCACCCTTGCCTCAGGCCACCCCTCTGCCCACAGTGACGTCATCAACAGCCCCAAGCTGGCAGGTGAGCTGCAGGGAGCCAACCTGGGAAGCCTTTTGCCCCCCAGGCAGATCCAGCTGCTGGAGGCCACGTTCCTGTCCAACGAGGCGGTGAGTCCAGCAGGGAGGGAGGACGCAGAGGAGGTCGGGAGCGCCCAGCACTCACCTAGGTGGTCAGGGTGGCAGGCTCAGTGCTGACCCCGCCCCGCCCCAGGCCAACGTGAGGGAGCTGATCAGCCGAGCCCTGCACCTGGAGGCACAGCGCTGGGCCCAGGATGAGGCCCCCCAGAGCTTGGACGGCCACTGCCACAGCGAGCTGGCCATCGACATCATCCAGGTAGCAGCCTGCCCTCGCGCCCCTGCCCTGCCTGGCGCCCGGGAGCCACCTGCCTCTGGGAACCCACCCCCGCCCTCTCCTGCCCCCCACTCAGCTCGGTCCTCGCCCCTGCAGATCATTTCCCAGGGCCAGGCCAAGGCCGAGAGCATCACCCTGGAGCTGGGCGCGCAGATCAGGCCGGTGCTGCTGGCTGAGCTGTTCATGTTCCTGAGCAGGTGGGTGTCTGCATCGTGCGGGGCCAGGGGCATCCCGCTGGCCAGTGCCCCCAGGGTGCCTTCCTGCTGCACCTTCCAGTGAGCCCCGGGGGTTCTGACTACCCCTCTTGTGGCAAAGGGGTGCTGCGGGGGCCCGAGGCCTGCCCTCTCTGGTGACCCCGGCCTCTCCTTCCTACCTCTGAGGCCCGCTCCTCTAGCTCGCAGAGTTCCCCAGGGCCTGCCTGGGGCTCCAAGTGGGAAGCCACTCACTGGTGCCCTGCTGCCGCCTCCCTGGGCCCCTTCCCCCCCCCATCCTGCATGTGAACCCATGTGCCATCCTCCTCACCAGCTACGAGCGCTCCTTTAAGGAATTTCTGGAGAGATACAAACATCTGAGAAACTACAGGGCCAACGTCATTGCCAACATCAACAACTGCCAGCTGTTCCGGTGAGGGGCCACATGTCACCGGCCGCCTGCTCTCGCTAGAGGGCGGGAAGGGCGCGAAGCAGCGCCCTGGGAGCACGGGACCCCTGGCCGCCAGGGGCGCCCGGTGGCAGCAGTGTGCTAGGTGCTGACAGCTGCCTGGGGAGCCATCCTCATCTTAGCCCCCCACCCCGTGGCCACGAGCCCCCACGCCGCGTGCCTGGGGTGGGAGGAGGACCTCCCTCAAGGGGCCTGTGTCCGCACGCAGTGGGGAGCCATCCAGGGTTCCAGAGTGAGGAGATGGCTTCAGCACCCTTTGGCTACCTGGCCCTGGGTGGCCGAGGCTGGCAGGGCCCTGCTGACTGCCAGCCCCTGTCCTTCCAGGTCATCTGTAGAGCAGAAGTGGCAGATGTGTCAGGCCCTCCCGAGCTACCTGCTGGCCCCCCTGAATGAGATCAAGACCCGCGGGTTTGACGTCCTGCTCCAGAACCTGTTTGGGGACCTGAAGGTAGTGGGAGCCTCCCTCCCTGGGCTGTAGGCTGAGCCCAGCACTGGGGGCTGGGGAGGGCAGGTAGGGCGCTCCCTCGGGAGGGCTGGCAGGGGCAAGACCGGGCAGGGGGAGGTCCAAGGCCCCTGAGTGGGCGCTGGGCTGCCCTGGTTTGGGGCCCTGGAGGAGCTTGGCCACTTCAGTGGCAGTTGGCCTCCAAGGGGCTGCCAGGGCTGGGAGGGGAAGGAGGGACGCGTCAGAGTCCTGGGGGGCAGAGGGAAAGGCAGCGTTTGGGGGGGAGCACAGTCTGCGGGCTGCACCTTGCAGACAGAGCCATGATGCAGGCCACTTCCTGTCTGGGACCCAGGACCTGGGAGCTCCGCCCCGCCCCCGGGATCCCACCCCCCATCCCCTACCCACCTCCACCCCATTCGTGGCTGCACGGGGGTGAGCAGACGTCCTGCCTGCCCTGTCGCAGCCGCTGTTCAGGCAGTTCACGCTGACGCACTGGGCAGCGCCGGAGCAGACCCTGGAGGAAATCCTCGAGGCCGTGCGGGCCGGGCTGCCGGAGTTCTCTGCGCTCCACCTCGGCTTTCGCGAGGTGAGCGGGAGAACTCGGGTCTGGGCACCGTGCACAGCCGGCTGGGGACCTGCCCCGCCCCGCCCGAGGCCCCGCCCCGCCCGAGGCCCCGCCCCGCCCGAGGCCCCGCCCCAGCTGCCTGCTCCCGCAGGAGCTCATGGAGATCGTCCACCTGCACCTGGTGAAGGAGTACATCGCGCGCCTCAGCAAGCGGCGCCTGGTGCTCAAGACGGCAGAGCAGCAGCAGCAGCTGGCACGACACATCCAGGCCAACGCGGAGGCCATCCGGGACTTCTGCACGCAGCATGTAAGCCCCCACTGCCCCCCATAGTTCTCACCTGAACCTCTTTGGGTCCCAGGGCTCATGGGGTGGGGGCAAAGGGGCGACCGCCTTCAACCAGCTCTGCCCGCAGGGCTCCCAGGCCAGCTGGCTGCAGGACGCCCTCCCCACACTGGCGGAGATCATTCGTCTGCAAGACCCCAATGCCATCAAGATCTCGGTAGCCACTTATGCCACATGGTACCCCGACTTCAGGTGAGAACAAGACCTCTGAGAACACTCAGACCTGCTGGGTGCCTGGGCCCTGCTGGACCCCCCGTGGGCAGACGGGCGGGTCCTGGCCACTGGCCTGTGTGAGCGCCCAGGCAGGTCTACGCTCTAACACTCGAGTCCGGGCTGGACCCCGTGGGCAGACACTCCCCCAGAAGCTCCTCGGGCGTGTCCACAGTGACACGGACGGCCCCGTCTCAGAGGGAGTCGGCCCAAGCCCAGACGCCTGCCGTGGAGGGCTCCGTCCTACAGGGCATGGGGCAGAGTGCCCTGGTCTGCAAGGCCAAGGCTGGCCGGTCGTGGAGTTGGTCCTCCACTGGCGCCCGGGGCCCCTGTCCGGGCAGAGGCTGAGCCCCTGGCCGCCTGTCTGGGAGCCGGGGAAGTTGCCTGTTTGGGCTGAGCCCCCGTGGAGGGGGCGTGGGGCAGCCCTGCGTTAGCTCACCCCCGTCACGCCCCGGCATCTTGCCAGACCCGTCGGGGCCAGGGTCCGTCCGAGGTCCGGGGTACGCGAAGCAGCAGAGACCAGGCCCAGCCGTCCCGTGTACTGGCAGCGCCCTGAGCACTCGCCGTGAGCCAGTGCACCCAGCGGCAGCCCTGGAAAGCTTGGCAGTGATGAAAGCTGCTGGCTTGGCAGTGATGGAAGCTGCTCCCCTGGGTAGGCAGCACTGAAGCCGAGACCTACCGGTCGCCTCATGTGCAGGACGCGCACTCCAGGGGCAAGGCCGGAGAGGCCTGCTCGGCGGGCGTGGGCTGGCCGGTGGCCGGGGAGCGAGAGCCCCGCGTGGTCAGGGCTGGCTGAGGGCTGGGCTCTCTCGGGCCGGCCTGACCGACCTCCCCCTTCCCAGCAAAGGGCACCTGAGCGCCATCTTGGCCATCAAGGGGAACCTGTCGAGCAGCGAGGCCAGGGGCATCCGGAGCATCCTGGACGTCAGCATGGGCGGGCAGGAGCCCTCCAAGTCCCTGTTCTCGCTTATAAAGGTCAGCTAGCTCTCCCTGCGGCCTGACCTGCCCGTGTGTGCCCAGCACCGGACTCTCCTCGCCCGCCTGGCAGCCCCGCTACTGCCGCTGCCCAACCCTGCTGAAGGCTCGGGCCGCTGGGCCGCTGGCCTCGGACAGGCCCTGGTCTGGTGACGCGCCTGTTGGGGACAAGGCACCCGCCCGGGGCCCCAAGCAACTCCCGCAAATGCCAGTTGACCCAAGTGCGATGGAGGGAGAGGCCGGGCTGAGACGCCCGTGCCCCATGGCGCCTGCCAGAGCCATCCTCACGCCTGGGCAGCTCCTGAGCCTGCTGTACCGCCCGTGGCCTTGGCCTGGCCAGGACAGAAGGCAGAGCTGGTGGGGAACCAAGGGGCCTGGAAAGGGGGAGGGCCCCCAGCTCCAGACAGCCCCTGGACCCCTGCAGGCAGACCCCAGCCCTTTCTCAGCCCCCAGGCAGGGCCTGGCCATGGGCGAGGTCCCGCGACTGCCCTAAAAGTCTCCACAAAGACTTCCGGCCTGAACACGTCGCCCCAGCGGGCTGACCACACAGGCCCAGCGGGCTGCATGGGTTCCAGGAGGATTTGCTGGCCGTCTGGCTTCCCCAGCCTCCGTGTGTGGCCTCCTTCGGCCAGCGGGCTGCGGGCCCTCATGCCCGGCACTCGCGTCCACCTTCCCTTGGGGCCCTGCACGCACGGCCTTTGACCTGTGCCCCGGCCCCAGGCCTGCGCACCTCTCCCTGGGTGGCAGGGCTGTTCCACGACACCGCCTGCCACGTGACCACCCTTGTCACGGGCCCCAGGGACCAGGACGTAAACGCGGGGCATCCTTCTGCGCCCTCCGCCCCTGCCCTGTGGGGTGCGTTCCCTTCTCCCTCCTTGTCTCTGCCGGCCCAGACCCCCCTCACAGGGCTCCTCTGGCCCCGAGGAGTCTCCGCGTCTGGCCTCTGCGGAGCCAAGGTGGGGCTGGGCCTGCGCCCAGGTACCCTGTGAGCGGGCGGCACCGTGGGGTGTCGTCACGTTGATGGCACTGCTTTTGTCTGTCCTCGGGACAAGATCCAGGATTTGTCTGGCTGAAATAAAGCTGATTTCCGAAGTGGCTGTGAAGGCTTCTCTGGGGGACAGGATGGGCTACCATGGCCCTCACCTGGGCGGGGCTGACCCTGCTCTTCCTGGGCGTGTCCACCCCTGGAGTCCAGCCCTGGCCTGGGCCGGGAGGGGCTGCCCGGGACAGACAGTGGGTGGCCACCTTTGTGCCTGCTTCCTCTCCTGTCAGTGGGGCTGGTGAGAGGGCCGGGGTCCTTTCCTGAGGGCAACCTGGGGGGCACTGACCACCCCTCCGCCCATGCACGGGCAGCAGGAACACTGCTGTTTGGAAAGCCGTGCTGGGCCGGGGATGCGCCGGTGGCAGATGGCCGGCCAGGGAGGCTCAGGCCTCTGCGTGTCCGTAGGGCAGGGTCCCGGGGCTGGGAAGGGGTCCCAGAGAAGCCTGCACGGGCAGGCAGGGCTGAGGGACAGCAGGGGGAGCGGGGGCCTGTTCCCCAGTCCCTTCCCAGCACCACCCTCTCCCTCCACACCGCAGCCCTCACCCAGAAGACCCAGCACCCCTTAAAGTGTCTCCTGGCCTGCCCATTGCCCCCAGGCTTGAGCCCAGGCAGTGGGGGCAAGGATGGGGAGGTGGGGGGTCGCCCCAGAAGGCCCTTCTGGGGTGCCTGGAGGCTGGACTGAGCCTGCCTCATCCTGTGGCTCTGGGCACAGGGGAGCCCCCTCTTGCCCAGAGAAGGCAGCACGGGCCGGCCGTTCCCCAGGAGGCGTAGTGGGGGAGGGAGGCTAGTGGGAGCCAAGCCCCAGGGAGCTGTAAGTGACCCTGGCAGGCAGCACAGCCCCCCAGGTCACTGCTGCCGGCCAGGGCTAGGGCCCTTGCAGCCTGGGACAGGGTGGGGACCCCTGGGCCCAAGGGCGGTCGCCAGTGGTGCCTGGGTGGGGATTGGACCGGTCACAGCCAGCCCAGTCACTGAGGGTTCACTTCCGCCAGGCAGTAAAATCCCTTGAGGGAGGCTGTCAGCGGGGTGAGTCAGCGGCACAAGCCCCTTTGAAGGGAAGGGCCTCTCTGCCCCACCCTGCTGGGTCACCCAGGCCAGGCTCAGAAACCGGGTAGCCAGTGCAGGCGGGCGGGGCCCCAGGACAGGGAGTTCTGGGGGGAGGGGAGGGCCAGTCTGTGGCCTGGGGTTGGGGCTCATTTCCTGGTGAGGGAAACCCTGAAGGCTCTGAAGGTGACTTGGCAGTCATTGAGCAGGGAGTCTGCCCCCCCCACCCCACCCCACTCCCGCTGTGGGCAGTGGGGAGGCCAGAGGCCCCCTGGGTGGGCTGGCTGGTGAAGCCCGCTTGGGGACTAGGGTGTGGGGGTGGGGCAGGCCCTGGGGAGTGGCTGGCGGGGGGCAGGCCCTGAGGTGGGGCATGAAGGGCAGTTCAGCTCCTGCGGGACCCCCAAGTCCAAGTCGGACAGTGCCCAGGTGGTCCCGTGTGGGAGGCCCCAGGCAGCGCAGCTCCTGGAGGTGGGTGGGGAGCGGGTGGGGAGCGGGTGGGGAGTGTGGGGGTCTTGTGCAGGGCAGCGAGAGGGAGGAGCCGGCTCGGCAGCTCTGACGCAGGCACCCTTGCCCGGCACAACGTCGTGGGCACTTCCTCACACCGGGAAGGGGGCCCAGCGTGGAGTGGGCACCGTGAGGGGTGTGAAGGAGAACTGACGCCAGCCTGCAGGGTCTGGGGGGCTGGGCTGGGCTGGGCGGGGAGGCGGGGAAGGGGGAAAGAGAGACGGAGGCGGGGGAGGGCTGGGTGGGCTCAGACACCCTGCTGCCGCCCCACGGCCTGTGGTTTGTGCCAGAACCTCACTGGGGGGTGGGGAGATGTCTGCCCTCGATGACCCCAAAAGTGGGAGCTGGGAACCTGGGTTCTCTGAGCCTTCTGGTGGGTGATGCTGACGCAGAAGAACCGTGGTCACCCTTGGGGTTGGCCTCCAGCACGGAACACCCCAGGCCAGGTGGCCGCCAGGAGGTCCTTGCTAGCCGCTCCTGGTCCCCTGGTGGGTGGGGGCGCTGTGGGCGGCACAGCCTCTCCAGGGTGGCCCCAACCCCAGGGCTGCAGGGGGCTCCGCGGGTGGGGGACACGTGGCCATGTCCCCACCATGTGCGGCTGACGGCTAGGAAGGAGGCGCCGCACGACCAGAGACAGCTGTCACGGCCGGGATGGTGGTGGGGCAGGGGTCAGCAGCCTCGGCCAGACCTCGGGAGCCCCTGCCAGAGCACAAAGCTCCGGCCAGCAGCGGCAGAGGCGGGGTGCGGGCCCGGAGGGTCAGGGCGCGGGCCTGGGGGTGCAGGCCCAGCCTCTGCATGGGGGGCAGCCGCCTTCTGCCGCCGGGGGCCGGGCGGGCTCCTTTCCCCAGCCCTCTCCCTCCGCAGGGCAGCGGCCTCCTGCCTGCGAGGCCTGCACCTGCCACCTTCTCCTCACCCACCCCTCAGCAGAGACCGCTTCCTCAGGGCTGCCGCCTGTCCCTCCTGGGCGGCCCTTTCTGCCGCACGTGTCCACGCGAGTGTCCTCTCCTCTCCTTTTCCAGTAAACCTGGCCTTCTGGATATAACCAGCGTCTCTGTGTCATGGGACACTCGCCTGCGAACTGGCCGTGTGCAGCTGAGGGGCTCTGGGGCCTCCTTTCCAGAGTGAACCCAGGGGTGTCCTGCCCTCCCAGCAACTCCAGCAATGACATCATGGTGACCGACCCCCCCGTCCGCCTCCCCCCCAGTACAGACACCGCTCACGCCCCCAGTCCCGTGCAGTCACGGAGCAGGCTGGGTTCAGGGACACGAGCTGCCAGGCCGGGGCCGGCGTCGGGCACCTAGGCGGGCTGGCCGGGCCCCTCCCGGCCGCAGGCAGGCTGGCGTTGGACAGACAAGGGCTGGGCGAGCCAGGGTGCATTTCTGTACCAAGGCCAGCTCCGGACAGGACAGCCAGTAGGTAACTGGGGCCAACCAGCACCCCGAGTTAGACAACCCCAAGTACAGAGTGAGAGCGCTTCGGGCCCTCTGGGGCACCTGCCTGGCCACCTGCACAAGCCAGACGGGGCACTCGGGCAGGGTCAGGCGGGGACGGCCAGCAGCAGGGACCCCACAAGGAGAGACGAGGCCCCCCAAGGTCCGGCTGGGTGTCCTCCCGTTGGGCTGAGGGGCCTCCTGGCCATGTCTGCAGCTCCAGGCCATGGGAGCCGCATGCAAGCTGGCCAGGGGCGTGTGAGGAGCAGGGAGAGGTGGCCGGCACCACCTCAGACTACAGGCAGTCACCCAGGGCACGGGCTCAGTCCCAGGGACCAGCCTGGGGCTCACCACCCTGGGGAGTAGTCACCCACAAAACCATAGGTCTCTCCCCGCAGAGGCTGCTCGGAAGTGACCCCCGAGGCCCAGGCAGCCGCTGGGCTCAGAACTGGCTGCGGGGCCGGGGGTGGGCCGGGGACCAGGTACCCAGAGCCACCATCCAGCCCGCGCCCCCTGCTGGTGGGGCGGCCCTGGGGCCGCGGAGCGGCGCCTTAAAAGCAGGAAAGGTTCCCCTGGTGGCCAGCGGGTCGGACTCAGCCCTGCAAGCCGGCTGCAGCTGCTTCCATGCGAGTTCGATCCCCGCCCCAGAGGTGACCCCCAGGGCTCGACAGACCCCTCCTGTATCCCTGCTGCCCCCTCAGCAGTGTATTTCAGTCGATCTGCCTGCTCTGCTCCCCACTCTGTCTCTGATGAAGCCTCTCACCGCCCCTGCACCTCTGGCCTGTACCCAAGTTCTGTGTGCACAAATAAATAAATCTTTAAAAAAAAAAAAAAAAAGCAAGACTCAGCTCAAATCGAGCAGCCCAAAGGAACTGGGAAGGGACCGGCTACACCCAAGGGGAGAGGGAGCACAGCCACGATTCGGGCAGCCAAGTGGCCGAGCGCCCCCACGCCTCGGGACAGCTCCGCGCAGGGGCTGGGGAGGGCGGGCCGGTCTCTGCGCACCCTGTGTTCCTTCCAGTGTGGAAGGCTCCGCCGGTGCGCTGGGGCCCTCGGCCGCTACCCGCCAGCTGCACCCACTGAAGAGAGTGTTTAGAAACATGAAGACAAGCTCAAGTTTTGTCCCGTCAGACGGCCAGAAATGCACAAGACGGTTGCCTGCAGCCCTCACCAGGCGGTGAGGAAAGGCCCCTTCCTGCGGGAGAACACGGCTCCGGAGCTGCGGTCGGGGGTTCCCAGCCCGGGACCCCTCTCACTCGGCCGCCCCGCGGCTCTCGCCCAGCAAGGGGTGCTCAGCCTGCCTTTGCTGCCAGGCCCAGTGGCGCGTTTTTAGACCCCGGCCTCACACGTGACAGGACCCCCCGCCCCACCCAGGGTGTCATGACTAGGGTGCTAGGTCAAAGGATGTGATTCTGAGGGGAGAGCTCAGGCCCCCTGAAGCCTTGTGCGAAAAGGAGCCCAGGGCGAGCGCCCCTCCTACTGCCCACGATGGGGCGCTCCAGACCCCTCTGCCTCGGCCTCTGAAAATAACCCCAGAGACCGGCCTGGCTGCCACGCGGGGTGGCAGGTGCTCGGTGACGCTCTCGCTTCCGGGTCCTGAACCGGGGGGCCCCGTGGCGCACGCCGGGGCTCCATGGAGGCCGAGGGCCTGTCTCGCCTTCCACAGGGTCTCCGGGACGCTGGGCACAAGGTCTACAGAACAAGGATCCTCATTGTGGGGAAACTGGAAAACCCCAAAACACCCAGCAAGAGGGAGCCAAGACTGCAGGGTTCACAGGGGGCGGGGCCCCAGCGCTGACGCGGGCGGGCCTGGCGCGGGCAGGACGCCGGCGAGCACAGGTGAGGCCTGGCAGCACGCTGGCACCAGCGACCCGCGTGGGTGCCCCCGCGGGTGCCCGCAGCGCCGGCAGCATGGCACCGTGCCCCAGGGCGCATGGGCGCGTGGCCTTCTAGCCCCCGCCCGCCCCCCGCCGCACAGGTCCTGTCTGTACCCAGCCGAGCGGTCTGAGCTGCCCTTGTGTCTGGGCCTGGGCCTCCCTGAGCTGGCCCTGCCCGCTGGC